GTGTGTGTGTGTGTGTGTGTGTGTGTGTGTGTGTGTGTGTGTGTGTGGTGGGGTTCAGACAGAGGGGCCAGCGTGAGCTACACAATAAACATGGAGACCTGCCGATGGCTGAGGTTGCCTATGGTATGGGAGGTGCAGGGCGAGGAGGGCCCACCAGGAAGGACCTTGGGTGTCTTGATGAAGGATTTTAAGACCGAATGCTCTCAGAGTCAAGGAAGGAGTTTAGGAAGAGGACGACATGACTGGATCTGTGTTTTAGAAAGTGAACTCTGACTGCGATGTGTAGCATGGAGGACACGGGTGGGGATGGAAGGTCCTGGCAGGAAGAAACTGTAGTGATCCAGGTGAGAAGTGAGCGTGGTCTGAACCGGGCAGGGCAGGTGCTGAGAACGGTCAGATTGGAGAGCTGTTGGTGAAGTCGTTTATTCCTGAGATTTGGGGACTTATTAGACGTTGGGGATTAAGGAGGGCTGGGTTTGGCAATTGGGTAGATGCCATTCTCTGAGAGAGCAAAGGGAGGAGAGAGATGGAGAGGGAAGATGAAGAGGGGAGAGTTTAAGAGGGAAGATGAGTTCAAATTTTGTTCGGGGTTTTGAACTGGTGCTTTTAAGGTATAAAGTGAAATAAGACAGGTGAAGTATCTGAGCTTACAGTACGAGTTCAGTTTTGGACACCTTGAACTTGAGTTGTCTGGGGGACTTTGAGTGGAGAAGATATCCTCAACTTTCCCCTCATCCCGACATCCAGTTCATGAACAAGTCCCATCGGCTCTAAGCACAAGATACTCTTCCAGACTCTGACAAGTACAGGTTTCTGGTAACTGAGTATACTGCTGAACTGAATGAATAAGTATTCTCAGAACTCTAATGGAAAACTGATGAATTCATAAAAGTGCTAACAAAAGATCAAGATGAAAAAACAATTAATTACTGAGTGAACTGATGAGGATGATTATAATTTTTGTGACTTTCTGTTTGAATTAAAAAAAAAATCCCACAAGGACTCAGAGGCAAAAAATATACAAATCAATTTTCACTGCAAAGTAAAGGAGCTGTTACAGTGGAGGATCCCTGGACTGAATGTCAATATCATGACATAGTATGAGTGTGTTTCGTGTTTGGTAATTGCAATCATTGCTGCTTCTGTTGTGGTCATCCATTTACAATGCTTGGTGTCAGTTCACTTATCTCTTGTAAAAATAAAATACAGGGCTTCCCTGGTGGCGAAGTGGTTGAGAGTCCGCCTGCCGATGCAGGGGACGCGGGTTCATGCCCCAGTCTGGGAAGATCCCACGTGCCGCGGAGCGCCTGGGCCCGTGAGTCATGGCCGCTGAGCCTGCGCGTCAGGAGCCTGTGCTCCGCAGAGGGAGAGGCCACAGCAGGGAGAGCCCCGCCTACCAAAAAAAAAAAAAAAAAATACAGTGTGTGTGTGTGAAAAAAAAAAGAGATACTTTTCCTACCCATCCCCTTCTCTCCCTCTCCTCTGTTGCCTACACAGCAGGAGAGGGGATGGTTGATGGAGGAGATGGGGAAGCAGCAGGCAGGGAGAGAGAAGGAAGGGGACTGTCCCTTGGAAACAGAGGAGGACTGATGGGGGAGGTGGGAGAGAACATGACGGAGGTTGACTCCATAGGGGTTGGGATGAGAAGATAGGACGCTCTCAGAGGCGGGTCTTGGTTTTCTCTGATAGCGAGAAGGCAGTATGAGGAGGAACGTGAGAGTGTGTTGGGGAACCTGGGAGGTTCCCCAGGCAGGATCTGGAGGTTGGGGATTCTGTGGCGGTGTCAGCCCACACGATGCTGGGACTTTCTCCAGCAGGGCACAGTGGGGCTGTGCAGGAGTGACAAGGGGAGGTTTATCCAGGGCCGAGGGGCTGCAGGGCAGGTGGCACCCAGACAAGTAGATGCTAACAGTGGAGCCACGGGCTCCAGGATCCCCGGGGAAGAGTCGGGGAGGGTTGATGACTCGAACAGCAGAATAGGGGAGACCAAAGGCTCTCGTTCTCCACTGAGTAAAACGCTGATGTTGCAGCGCCCTCACTCCATTTCTCTCACTGGAATAGTTGACCGTGCTTGGAATGGGAGAGGGGGATCTTCAGATTTGCCATGCGGAACCCTTGAGGGCGCCCAGGCTCGGAGAGGGGCTTCAGTGGATGGAGGTGAGACCGTGGAGTTGAGAGTGACCCCAGGCCCCAGCCCAGTCCTACCGGCTCCCAAGGCCCCCCGGGTAAACATGTGGTCAGCAGCTCTGGGTCCCAATGATGAACTGTATAGGGAGGGGGTGGGACCAGGTGCACAGCAGCCCGGAGCCAGGTCCCAAATGACGTGGGTACCTGAGCGGGATGTCCGGAGGTGAGGGTTGGAGGAGTAGGGGGCATGGTGGGGTGGGCCTGGGGGTGGCATGGGCCCTGAAGGGGGAGCAAGTCTGAGAAGAATCCTGGCCCCCTCCTGCCCCCCACGCACCCCAGGCAGTACGTGGATGAGCAGCTGCCAGCGGAGAGGCCAGGAGACAGTCCCGGGGCAGGTGATGCCATGTGGCCTGACCTGGACCACACGGCCTTCCTGCGTGCCACTCTTCCTGTCCCCGCCCAGCACAACTCATCAGCACTCCCGCCCAGGAAAGTGAGGAAGGCCGGTCCGTCTCTGGCCTCCCAACGCAGCTGTCACACCCTCCAATCTCTGCCGTCAGGGCGCTGGCTGAACGACTGCACATCTGCAAAGCTGTGTACGGGCCCAGTGGTCTCAGGGAAGAGAGCTTCAGTGGTGCTTCCGAAGGACACATGCCCAATGACAGGCCAGCCCCTTGCCAGGCAGGGACACTCCCAATGTCTCTGCTTTGCCATGTGACTCGGACGGGGCAGGGCACCGGAGGGGGGGGGGGTGTCCGGGTCGGGCAGAGTGGAGATGCCCCCAACTCTGTCCCCTTGCTGTGCCCATGGATGGAGGCCCTTGTTGGAGGTGGTCAGGGGGGTGCATGAAGGGCAGTGCCCTGCTGTGGGCTCGCAGGTAAAGAGGGGACATGGAGATGAGGAGAAGCGGCCGGAGGAAGGAAGGGCGGATGGTAGAACAGTGTAGGAATTGTGGTCCTTACGCCGCTGGAGGGTTGAAATCAGAGTTACTAGCCATTTCATAACTTTCCTCTTCAGCGGGTGGAAATGGCAACGGGGTGCTGGGCAAGAGCAGGAGGTAGGATTCACCTCTGCCAGAGGTTCCCAGGAGTTGAGAGCTTGAGAGGAACATTCTAGCATTGCCTTCCTTAAAGTCCTCTCTGAGGAGAAGAGACCCATCATTTGCTTAGGAGTTGATTAAGATCGCTTTCTTTAGCAGCGGGAGCTGAGATTAGATGGTAAAAATGATAACAGTCCTAGTGCTAACGCTGCTGAACTGCAGGACCACCCTCCCGCCTAAGCGCCTTGTGTAGGGAACTCACTGAAAGGGTTTCCGAGAGATGGAGAAGGGGGCACCTGGGTTTGGGTCTGGGGGCCCCTCTGGAGGGAGCAGGCCCTGGTTTTGCCTCCACCTGGTCCTCTCTCCTTCCCTCTGTCCTCTCTCTCCCTTCGCCTACCTTCCCTGGACCCTCGGAGGAAGGTGACGCAGGCTAACTGAATGCATAACTTTATTAAATAAATGCTTTGTCACGACAAAAGACAAAGATCAAGGAGTAACATAAATTATAAGTTGAATAAATAGTATACAGCAATCTTCACTTTTTTAATAAAACGTGAGATCCTCAGGTTTTTTGTTTTGTTTTTTTTGTTTTTCTCGTTTTTTATTTCCTTACGTACAAAACACTAAACAGGAGGCGAGCTCTTCCACATTCAGGTGATTTTTTTCCCCCCGCTTTTTCTTTTTCTTTTTTTTTTCCACAAACAGGTTTTGTTTGTTGGTTTTTTGTTTTTTTTCATCCTTTTCACCAGTAAAGATTATGAGCATTTATTAACAAAAAAAAAGTTGAAAACAAAAAAAGAGGAGAGAATAGCGCTATGGTATGTATGTATGTCAAATTATAAAGAACTACAGTAATATGTGCTGTGGTTATTGCTGACTAAAAAACAAACAAACCGGTAGGCAACTCGGAATCTGAAGGAATCTTGTCTGACAACTGTCTATCCGTGTGGGCTACTGTGTGATGCTGGTGGTGGACGGTCCGGGACTCAGGCTGGTGGCCGAGGACCAGAGAGGCGGGGTGAACGGGTGCAGGGCGGCTGACCCCCCTCACCTCCCCTTTCTCCCATCCAAAAAAAGTTAAAGAGAGGAGGCCAGAGTCTGTGGAAATGGCTAAACTATATATTCCATTAGAAAACCAAGAAAGTATGTTTATAAAAAGACACCAAAAGCCTATGAGAAAAAAAAAGTGGAGAATAGTGCAAAATAAGTCTTGCACTTTAGTGGTTTTAAAAATAAAGACAGTACAACGCCCAGGTTGCTGGCCGGTAACCTCTGTTCCCTTGGCCCACTACCTCTCAAAATAGAGCCTCCTTTCTCTTGGAAGCCAAATCTGTCCTCTCCGAGACCAGAGGGTTGCTTCTCCTTGGCCCACTCCTCTCTGCAATTGTCATCTGAGCTGGATCCCTCTTGGGGGCTAAGTGGATGGAGTGGGGGGCACTGCCCCAGTTGGAGGGGGGCTGGGCAGTTGCTTGGTAGCCCTGTGGCTGCTGACGAGCTGGGCAGTGGGAGAGTGGTGGTCCAGGCCCGCCTCCCCGGAGGAGGTTGGCCCTGCTGGGTTACCATGGAGACCACAGAGGTGGTGATAGGGAAATGGGCGAGGGGACAAGGGATGGGACCACACAGGGCCTCCCATCCTCCCCCCCGTGTGGGGGCTAAATGTCTCCAGGCCTGTCTGTCCAGGCCTGGCTGTCCGAGAAACTTTCGAGTCTCTTCCGTCCCAGATGCCCTGCTTTGCCCCTGTGCGTGGGGCAGCTCTAGGGGCAGGGGGAATCAGTCCTGGCTAGGCCTCCCTAAGTGACCTGGCAGTAGAGGCGGACACAGGTCTTCACTGCCAGAGCGAGGCATGAGTCAAAGGGGGATGGGGAGAGACCTCCTGTTGGCGCAGTGGGCCAACGTTTAGACTTGAGGCCATAGAAAACCCAGAGCCTAAGGCCTCTGGGTGAGCAGACAGCGGCCAACAGGCAGCCTGGGGTCAAGAAGGTCCCTGCTCCGGGACTTCACAGCTGGAGCTCACCACACCTGCCTTCCCGCCACCTCACCTTCCTCAATGTCTGCTTCCCCATGGGCTCCCACCCTGGGCTCAGGCCAGACCTCCCTCTGTCTGAAGGTCCAGCATCCTCTAGGGAGTGGCCAGCTGACCAGAGTCCTCCCCCCGCCCCGTCCTCCCTGCAAGCACGAGAGAGAGACTCACAGGTTTGGGTTAGTCAGTGTGAGCTTTGGAGGCCTGAAGAGACGGGTGGCGTTAAAGCAGGTCCCAATCCCCCACCTTACGGCTGACGGCAAAGAGCCGATGGAAGGAGCACAGGCCCCTTCAAAGTCCAGTAAACAGCGGGAGGAAAAGACAGCCCCTCTCAGGAACCAGGAACCAGGTCCAGGCCTCGGGGGGTGGGGAGAGCTCTGCAAATCCCTGGTTCAGTCTTTTCTTAGGGGAAATGACCCCCCAGTATCCACTCGGTAGATCCCAGGTAGACGACTGATGAAGATGCAAAGAAAGAATGGGCGGAAAGAACAGTGAAGTGAGAAAGGCTGACGATACTGGCCTAAGACATTGAAATGTGAATCGGGCGCTTGTGGACAGTTGCGCAGAGAGCTGGGGCACGGTGACACAGCAGGTCGGGGAAGTCCTCACGGCTGCCAAACCCCTCAGGCCCTTTGTCCTGCGAAGATCGACTGCCTCTTCCATCCCAGCCAACCGTCCTGGCCAGGGAAGCAGGAGACATCCCCCCAAGTTCCAGCTGCAGGCTTTCCACTAGCTGGAGTGTGTTTGCTCCTTAGCTATCCCTCTTCACCGTCCCCAAGTTAGATGCTGGTGTGGTCTCCACGGCGTCATGTCATCAGGAAAGAGTGGAGAAAGCTGCGTTCACAGCGAGACAGGGTCTCCTTTGCCATGTCCAAGACCCTTCTCCTGGCCGGCGATCTCCATCCTCAGAGGGCAGCCCCAGGGCCGCCCACTTGTTGGGGGGAGTCCGTGGAGGATGGGATTTTTCTTGGTTCAAAGTCTGGCTGTCAAATGACAGCACCCCCCAAACACACATTCCCCGCTTGTCCTGGGCTTTTCCGCCATCCTCCACCCCAGGACGGAAGCCAGAACTGGCCGGAGTGGATGAAGAGCTTGAAACCCTCTCTGGCCTCAGTCCCTTATTGCAGGGTGAAGGTGGGCAGGTGAGCACATAGGCTTGTCCCTTCCAAACTATGGCTGGTCTCTACTGATCCTGTTTCTGTCCAGCCGCTACAGTCTAGAACCCATCGAAAGTTACCCACCTTCCCTGGATCCAAGGCCTGGATTAAGCACATTTCTCTCTTACAACCTGTTCCCCCATCTTCCTCTCTCCTTCCCCTTAAATTCCAGAGGCATTATCAGGTGGGGACCCAGGGAAGTGTCTCTTGGCTTTGTTCTCTTTTCTGTCGCTTCGCTCCAAAGCTAGAGCGGGACAGTCAGCCCCCTGTCTCTCCAGCTCTCTGCCCCTCGCTTCATCTACTCTGGCCTGAACAATCACTTTTACTGTTTCCCCATATTTAAACCTTTCACCTCCATCTCCCTCTTTGCCGTCTCTCATTTCAGTCTCTCTCCTGCTCTGCCAGCGTAAAGGCTGAAAGAGGCTTTCCAGAGGCAGGCTCTGTCCAGATGAAACAAAAAGGCTGGGCAGGACCAGGGGGTCGAACTTGGACCTATCGGGTTCACTGGGTGTGGGAGTCCAGAGACAGTGACTTCCCAAGGGTCTAAAGGTGAATGGGATGTCCTGGGGAGCTCGGTGGGTTCACCGCTGGGTGTGCTCATCCACCTGGCTTGGTGGTACATGAACACACACACATGGGAAATCACGAAAAAAATCCAACACTGTGTCCCACAAAGGGTTGAGTTTGCCGCTGCTCATGGGAGGCAGGCATTATGGGTTGTATTACAAGAAGATGGGTTTTCTTGGTTTTCCCAGAATAAGGACGCTCTTCAATGCCCCCAGAGGAACTACTTGGAAAAGTTAATGCAAACCTTTGACAGAAAGGAAGGAAGAAAGAAAAAAAATCAAGAAAATAGATTTATATGCCTATATAATACTATATGGAGCCTTGTAGATAAATACAAGCCCACTTTTTGTTTTTCCAGCCTATCCTCCCCCACAAAGGCTGTGCTAGCTGCGAACTGGATGCAACGAAGGGCTGAAACTACAGGCTTCATTCAGCGCAGAGTTTTAGCCGCCCTGGAAGAACCCATCTTCCCACTCTTGGGGGTGTGGATTGATTTCTCAGAGTCTGCAGGGGGAGTGAAATATGCACACATACTTCACATTCATGGATCCACTTAGGGACACCTACCTGTCTAATATCACTCAGTTATGAATTTGCTGTGTGTTGAGAGGAATGGAATGCATTTTAGGTTTTGTAAATTTGAGGGAGAGAGAACAGTGTCGGGGTGGGAGGAGAGGAAGGACCCGTCGAGCCGTGCAAGCTGCTGGCTGCAGGCGGAGATTGATCCAGGAGAGGCACTGACGCCTGTTGTCTTTTCCTTTCTCCCCCTGTGACCCATCCTAACTGGGCAAATTCCAAGGGTGTCATCGAAGGCCACACCTGGGGCTGCACCCGCTCTGCCCAAGCGGCTCCCCACCTCGGGCCGGGGCTGGACGTAAAGGCGGCTGCTTCCGGCCCACGCTCTGCTTTTCCTTCTTGTGACTACTAGTCTTCCCCTCTCTCACACACATCTGCTTCCCTCCCTTTTCTTTCTCTTGTTCTTCCTCTCTTGCCCTCCCTGTTCATTCAACTTGCCTCAAAAAGAAAAACTTTTTTAAAGGGGGGGGGTGTCTCCTTAGCTTTGTGCATCTCCGTTGTTGCCGTTTTCAAAGTTGAGACCTTGCCAGAGATTCCGAGGTCCTGTTTCTTCAAATAGATAGATATATGTATTTTCTTCCCTTAAATGAGATGAAATGAGTGGCGTCCTGGGGTGGAGGGAGGCACTGGCTGGAGTCGGGGCTGGGGGGGTGGGATGGGGTGAGGGAAAGATGGGGAGGGGACGCGTCACTCAACATTGCTGCTGTCGAAGGTGTGGCACTGAAAGTCCCCGTCCACATATTCCATGCCTGGCAGCTTCATCCCGTACTTGTCCACGCACCAGCAGATGCCACGTTTGCGGCCACGGGAAGGCTTGCACTGGGGTGGGAGAGTGACAGGCAGTGAGGATGGCTGTACCCCGAGGCTCTGCTCCTGCCTGGCCCTTCATCCTCCCTGCCTCAAGACAGATCCTCACCCCCGGAGAGTTGAGGGAGCTGTACCCAACCCTGGGGGTTCTGATGGCCACACTGCATGGGTGGACGGTGGGGGGGGGGGGGGGGGGGGGAAGTGCTGATTTAGGCAGTCTTCCCTAGGCAAGCTCTTACGACTTTGTTTCATGTCACCCATTCAGGGTCCTCCAACTTGGTATTTTCCAGAGAATGATATAACCTGATCATGATCATGATGATGAAAATGATGATAAATTAAATTGTTAAATAATCGTAGTAATAGGAGGCATCACTTGTATAGCTGTATCACCTACAAGGCACCGCCTAACACTTACTATATTGTAGGTACTGTTCTAAGTACTTTATAAAGATTAGTCCATTATTCCTCATAATCATGTGAGAATAATAGGTAAAATTATTCTCCATCTTACATGAGAAACTGGAGGCAGAGACATTGACTAACTGGGGTAAGAGGACACAGCTAGTAAACAGGAGAGCCAAGCACTCACGCAACGCTGTCTGGTTCTTGACTCCTAACCTAGAGGAGGGATGCCCTCATCAGAGTCATCTGGGAGGGCATTTGTTAGAAATGCGAATTCTCAGAGTCTGCCCGAGACCTACCATCAGAAACGCTGGGGTGGGACCAGCAATCAGTGTTTTAACAAGACCTCGGGGTGATACTGATGCCCTAGGAAGTCTGAGATCACTACCCTAAGGTAATGTGTACTCCTTAACGGGCTCACATGACTGCTTAATCAGCCGTTGCCCAAAGGGTAGCCTGGCTGTGAATGGGACACTAAATGGTTTCAAGTGGTATGTGGTTAAAACGTTTTAGAGTCATGTATATGTATATATTTATGTGTGCCTATCAGAAAATAACACATCCAACGTCTGACGTGACACAGTGATAGAAAGTTTCCTTTTTAGATGAATTCATGTATGTAAGGTGAATCATTAAAACGTCAGTAGATTATAGTGTAGGAGGGAATGGGGACAATCACGACTGTGACGGGGGCAAGGATTTTGGAGGTTTGGGACAAAGTGTTGTTAATGACAGAAATCCAGGCATTTAGAGGTGGAGGTTTCTGGCAAGTGCCCTGAACCTGGGGCTTAGCACGGGGCGTACCTGCTTTCTCTTGTAGAATCCTTTGCGGTCACAGTTGGGCAGGTACACGGCGCGGGGCACCATGCGCGGGCTGGCTTTGAGCTCCTGAAGGGAAGCCTCCATGTGCCTGCGGCAGGGACCCTGTGTGCGGACAGGAGGGGTGAGAGGCGTGCCAGGACCCGCGGGAACCACCAGGACGTGCAGAAAGCATGGCTGGGGTATGGGGGGGGGGGGCGTGGTAAAGGGTCTGTACGGAGAGTAACCGCCTTCTGTCCCCAATACCTGCCACCCAAGGTCTCCCTCCGCCTCGCCTGCCGCGCCCCCTGGGCGTATAAAGTGCTGGCACGCACGCTCATTTAGACGCGGGCTAAGGTGGAAAGCTGGGGCGGTGGCGGAGGCTGCGGGGTGTGGATGCAGAGGCGGATGGGGAGAGAATCCTTGAGACTCACCTGCTCAGACTCCTGTCTCATCTCAGGCGCAGAGATGACCCGGGGGTGGGCGGTGTTCTCAGCTCCCCCCACGAACTTGGACTGGGTCAGCTTCTTTCTGCGGTCCTTCTTCACGGCCTCGGCCTTCAGCTCGGAGATGCGGGTGTGCTTGGGTCGGAAAATCTTGGGCGAGTAGGTCTCCTCCGCCATCTCGGAGGTGGTCGGTTCCTCGTGCTCGCGGGAGTCTCTTTCTGCAGGGAGAAGGGGGCTGAGGCCCAGCCGTGCAGAGCCCGAGGCTCGAAGGATTGGGGTGAGGGCACGGGCTCTCTGCCCTCCTGGACTCGTCCAAACTGGGGAAAGCAGGGAACTGAGAACCAGGGCACGAGTCGACACTCGTGTAAGTGGTGGGAAATCCGGGGCAACTTCATGGGGTAGGAGAGTGTTGGAAAAGTCAGGCTGATACAGGAGGGGACGTCGGACAGGAGGGAGAGGATATTCTGGGGACGGGGAGGGCGAGGGCTGTGGGAAGGGGCTTGCTTGTTGGGGGGCTGGCTAAGTAGATGGGGTGGTGGCCGGAGGCGGGGCTGTGATGTAAGAACACATTCTGGAGACCTAGGCTGTGGGGGAAGTAGGCGATGGCCAGAACGTGGCCAAGAGGCCAAGTCCATCCTTTAGTGTTTTCGGAACTGCTGGAGTTGAGATATATCTGGAGCCGGGAAACCAAGGGCAGGAGGGTCCTGGGGTGTCTGGATGGGCAGGGGGGTGGGACCATCAGGCAGAACAGGAAGAGGGGAGCCGGGAAAGCCAGAAATGTGGGGTCTGGAGGGGATCAGTGCCGGCGGCTGGGGGTGACGTGGAAGCCCGGGGCCTTGCTTCCTTCTCAGAGCTGGCTCTGTGCTCTGTGCCCTGGGAGGCTGGGACATAACTCAGCTCCAGGCCAAGAGAGGCAGACTGCTGGCTGCGGGTGGAGTGGTTATATATAGCAGTGACTTGGTGACAGTCTATATTTAGCTGACTTATGACCTTTAAAGAACTAGGACTTTGTTCATTTATTTGTCGATCTGTTCATTCCAGCCTCCGGCCTTTTCTTGGTTCACAGATTTCCATGAAATTCTCATCTCACAGGCGCCCTTCTCTGGGTCCCTCCTCTCAGCGCCCTGATCTCACCAGCCTAGGCAGACCCAGGGCAGGAGGTCTTCGATTGCTCTTCCCAGGTGGGCAGGATGCCCAGGGTGAGAGCAGGTGTAGGGCAGGGGGGGTGCGGGCAGGGAACCCTGTCTTCACTGCCCTCTTTTCTTTTCAAATTCTAGAAAAAGAAAATAGGGCTTTGGGGGTGACCCTGAATAACTCAAATAGACTGAAGAAGAATCCGGTTGTCCACCCTCGCTGCTCTCACCGGGCTGCCCCGGAGCTGAGATGGCAAGGCATGGGTTGGGACATAGAAGGAGAGGAATCTGAGGAGGTGGTGTCGAGGAGAGGTGCAGGGAGGGAGCAGTTCTGTGAGAGGACACTGTTTGGTGTCCCCGGGGCAGGAGATTTCAGCCCCGGGGGAAGTTCCAGGTGTGTGTTAGGAGAGTCATGTGGAGGCCTGGCCTAACCTGGTCAGGATGGCAGGTGGCAGGAAGCACCCAAGCACCTGTTTGTCTCTTGGCTCGGGATTTGTCAGATTTAATCAAATAGGTAATCCAGTCCTTAAGTCCCGGGCAGGGAAGTGCCCCACCCTAAAGACACCTCCAGAGGTTTGCAGTGTCCTGGGTGGCGGCTGATTTGGGTATTTAGGAGAGGAAGGGAAGTAGTTTCTGGAGAAGAAGGTGTGAGAAAGCAAATGACAAAGCAGTGGGCAGGCTCTCCCTGAACAAAATTCAGTACCAGGATCCCTGTCCCCTTCCGGCCTTTCACTCCCTCTTCCCAGCATGTCCTGCCCTGTGCTCTGACTCTATCAAAACCCACCGGGATGATAAGTCAACAAGGTGATGCACCTGGCAGGTGGAATGGAGCCTTCCGGAGATTAGCTAACAGAGTGATGTTTTTGGCATAAACCAATTTTTCCTGGTTGTGGGATTAGCTAGGATGGGGGTGGGATGCAGGGTGGAGCAAGCTGATGTGGGGGACTCTGTGCAAAGTGAAAGATTAGGGCTCTGTTATCTAGTAATTCAGGCCCAAACCTGAGGCCCAGGTCTTGAGGGAGGGGGTGAGGAGAGGAAAAACGAACCATTGCCTAGTCACATCTTACTGAGTGACTTGACACTTCACTCAGACTCTCTGGGCATCCCCACGCACTCTGACCCTCGCTTGAGCAGTGGGGGAGGGGAGAGGGCAAGAGATGGTTGCCATTGAAAGGCTGGGAGCATTCTGGGTGTGCATGGCCACATGCCTTCCCCAATCAAGATTGTAACCAGGTGAAGGGAGGGGAGGAGGGCGAGAGGGCTGGGTGTGGGACGCATGGAGGAAGGATGAGCATCTCCTTTGGGGGCTGCTCTGGCCTGGCCCAGAGGGAAAGCAGACTGTCCACAGGGGCACCTGTGGATCTGGGCTCTTCACCAGGAGAGGTCCCCGGGGCTGCTTACTCCCAGTGGCTGGCTTTTCCAGCTCCCCGAATCCCTCCAATCGTCCGTCCCTGTGTCCACAAGTACACGCACCCATCCCAGCGGTTCTTAAAGATATCTGGGGTGGGAGTGCCACCCACCTTCTTCTGGTCACCTGTTTTGGGGGCCCCCTGTCCCTTTGGTCAGAGGATGTGATCCTCCAGATGCCGTTTCACCTTCTCTCACGGAGCTTCTCTCTCTGGCTTTGGTGGTCGTGGAAGTACATTGGCTAATGCCCACCCTCCCCCAGCGTCAGCAGCCCTTCTCAAGACTCTTCATATTTTAGGATCTTTGAGAAGTGCTGTGGCTGCCCTTAACCTTGACTCACCCTTCCTGGGAGGAGGATAGGGCTGTTAACAATGGTTCAGGAAACTTTGGGGCAATTTACTTTGACCTCTCTTGGTCTTATGTCCAAAAGTGTTAGCTTTGAGACTAAGCAAGGTTGATACTGGAGAACGAAGTGCCTTCTTTAAGGAACTCAAAGTACTTTTGCAAACCCTCTGTCCTTCCCCTGGCCTCACCAAGGCCGGGTTCCTGAGGGCGTACCCTCCCCAGTTTGCAGTCTCTTTGGCTGTTTCTGAAGGGCAGACTTAAAGTTTTGATGTGCCTCCCGGGTTTCAGTGCCACTTAACCCCATGGGACCTATTACTTAGGCAGCGGGAGAGTCGAGTATCAAAGATACTAATCAGGGTCTTGTGGTCACCTGTAGGTTCCAGAGAGACAGTGGAAACTTGGAGCGGAGCCAGGGCAGAGCCATGAAGATTAAAGGGCTGGAAAGTAAGACTGGAGCTGGGATGCCAGAGCCAACTAGCCCTACTCAGCTGCTTTGTAGCTGAGTCATAAATAGGCTTGCAATTTTGGAAGGGTTTAAGTTTTAGATAAAACAAGAAGGCACAAGTAGACTGGCAGCTCCTGAGCTGTTGCATCCAAAGAAAATGGAGCAAGGTTGCAGAAGGGATTTAGGTGGGATATAAGGGAGGACTTCCTGGTGAAGTTACCCTGCAATCTAGGGAACTTAGCAATGCAGTAGGTTCTGGAACCCAGTCGACCAGCATGTCAATACCTCCACACGGCCAGTAGGTGGCGGAGGAGACCGATGGCCGCAGAACACGTCCGTGGGGCTTCCTTGTAGGGACTGTAAACAATTTTAAAATCTGGAATTTGTGTGCCTCCCTCCCCTACTTCTCTGACAACCACCCCAATCCTCCCCTCTTTGTGTGTATGCGGCATGCATGGAAAGAGTCAGGGAGATGGACATGCACGGACTGGGAAGGACCCACGGGGGGTCAGGGTGGAGAAGGCAGGTGTGGGGCGGGGGCAATGCTATCAGTGTGTAACCCCCTGCTGTTTCTTTAATCTGCACCTGAAACACGGTCAGGGAAAGAAGGGAAACAGATCGAGGACCTCCCTTCCTATCTCTAGATGTTATTTTGAAAGGATTCTGCAGAGAGTGGGCAAGGGAATGTTCACTATTGTTCCCTCCTCTGGGAAGCTGTTGAGGCAGGGCCCTTTAACTCCATGATCTATCCAACAACTAAGGAAGCAAGGCTTCTCATATTGTCCCGATATTTACCTTTGGATAACTATGTGATTCTCTGCTCTGTTCTGCCCCCAGTCCTGCCACCCGGGCTCTCTGATGCTCCCAGCCCCTGCAGTGTTAGGGTGGGCAACTCAGTTTCTCCTTCCTTCATAAGGCGCTGTGCATTCACACTGATGCAGCAACATCCACTCCCCAGGGCAACACGAAAACCTGCCTGAGGACTGTGCCATCCTCATGTCCCAGTGAACCTTTTTTTTTTTGGCCACGCCATGAAGCTTGTGGGATCTTAGTTCCCCAACCAGGGATTGAACCAGGGCCCCGGCAGTGAAAGTGCTGAGTCTTAACCACTGGACCGCCAGGGAATTCCCCCAGTGAACCTTGAGTGTGTCTGGGTGCAGGCCCAGCCAGTGTGGACCCAGAGGCATCCCAGGGCGGGCACTGCTCCTCACAGCACAAGTGCCAATGCATGCTCCCTCCCCAAGCCCCACCACGGTCTCCAACCCGCCCTCTCACTGTAGTTCTCCCGCAGGCGCGGGGTGCTTTAGCAGCAGGACCAGGTACTTGCTCTTAGGAAGCCTTCTCATCCCACCTGCTCCCCGAGCCCAGCGATGGGGCGGGTCCAGTTGGGGACCTTCTGCTTCCTGCAATCGAACCTTCCACCCTAGGGCTGTGAGTCCTACCTTGGCACCATTAACAGCCTGGGCCCAGCCTGGTGTTTGTTTCCCACACTATCTTGACCTCATAATCAAACTTAGAGAAAATGGGTGGACCAGATATTGTGACTTTGCCTACGGAAATTGAAGAAGCTGAGGTGTACTTGGAACGTGCAGCTCAGGAAGGATGTGGGGCTTTGCCAGGCCACTTGGACCTGGGAGTAGTCTCTTTTCCTAGCCAGAAGACAAGAGGGGTTCACCCAGAATCTCTCTACAAGGAATGAAAAGGGGAGCTGGGTTTCCACTGCCTCTCATTCTAGCTCCCTCTGTGGAATTCAAACAGTAAGCTTCTTAAGGGGAGAACTTTGTCATTTATCTTGGTCTCTCCAGCCTATGGTCTTCAATAATCTTTAAATGGAGAGATGCGTGAATCTGCTCACGAGACAGCGCAGGAGGTCTAGGAGCAGTTCTGT